ATGCTGCAGTACTGGTTGCCTAGGGCTATAAATAGTACAGATAGATTTGGCACGTATTTGATGAGTTTGAGCAGAAAGGATATTCGTTTACTGTTTCTCAAGTGTAACTTGTGCCTATTCTCGATGGGACCTCCGACCTGCAAGGAACGTTCGTAATGTATGTCAGATTTTTGTTTTGTTTAATGTTGTGTGTTTTGCTCCCATGTAAACCTTGTTTTATGGGTCACTAGTATCTAAAATAGTTTAACTTGTTATTGGTGAGGAGGAGAAACTCTGTCAAGCGACAGCAGTCTGCTTTTTTTTTCTCCCCCCCCACTCTCCCCTGTAGAAAAACAATAAAGTTGAAAGCTGCAGACTCGAAATGCCATCAAAAGAACCACTGTGCAGCCGACGCTACGAACTGATGGAACCACCATCAGCTCGTACCGTCGCCTGCATCTGGACTTAAGGTGAAACGAAGTATAGTTGTTCTTTTGATGGCCTTTCTAGTGTGCAGCTTTGGTCTCGGCTTGTTTCCTGTTCAGTGTGCGATCGTCTCCTCTTCAAGTTTGCAATCCACTGATTTTAAGGCTAGGGTAGGCTAGGGTGGGCCGATTACTGTTTTCGTAAATTATGCACGGGAATTTTTTTTTTCTTTTTAGGGCTGAAAATATTTATTTAAGATTTGTGAGTACAAGAAGAAATGTAGTTAAGATAGAGTAGCAAACACATTCGATCAAATATATTTGCAAGATAGCAACTAACTACCGAAAGTAACGGAAATACAGCATCTTGAGTAGAGTACTTGAGATAGGCACAAGTCTGAGAGACACAGATTCTTCATAAACCACAGCCCATTACTAGAAAAGAAATACCACTGGAACGAAGGGGAACCAGGGGATACCCAAAACAAGGTCAGCAATTCAAGTGGGAAGAGTTCATTTGAAACAAAAGGTCGCACGTTCATTCGAGGTGCGGGACCCACGGCGAAGGAACGATTCACCTGATTCACGCGCGAAGACAAGAAAGAACAAAGAAGATAGTGGGCATGTTCCTTTTTTTCTTTTCGCGGTCTTGCTAACGCACATGAGTCACCACCGCCGACAGTGAACAAATGCTCCTTTGGCTTGCGCTTCGTGTCCTGCTACGTACCAAGTAGGAAACACCGAATCGCCGTAGCCTCGTCTTCTTTGCGGTAGAACTTGATTATCTTCGCGGTGTTCCTCCCATGTGATGAAACGAGCGAGGCAGTGCTCGGTCCAGCGTCAACAACGTGAATTAAGCATACTCGTAATGGAGGTACTCCGAGCGAGTCCGAGTGTGACCGAGACCAGCAGACGGTAAGAAATCTCGCGCCTTCTCGTCGGAGACGCAACGCTCCGAGAGTAAACGAGAAAACGGCCGCCACTGTTAGAGATAGATATAAACACCTCCGGTTTTCCGCTGCCGCCGAATTCGTTTCGGCGGCAGCAATCTTTTTTGCAAATGTAAACGCCCCATTGGATATCCGCACATAAAGAATCATCGTTGTGAACAAGTGAAATTAGGACAGTGAAGCCACCACAACCAACACCGATAAAAAACGGAAGAAAATTTGAATCGGAGTTGCAGCTTTTTTTTTTATTCTCGAGAGCAGTGTGCGGGTGGGCGGCGGAGAGAAGCTCACCGGAGAAAAGCTCACCGGCCTTTTGACGGATGCGGAGAGAAGCTCACCTACGAATCTAGGAATCGAGCGTTCTCTGATATACGTTCACTCAACTGAAGTATGCTGGGGTACATTAAGGCCCGTTCACACTCTTGCGACTGAGTAAGACCGAGAGAGACCAGACCGGTTTTCAAGCCTTTTGCGATCTCTTAGGACCAGCTCCGCCGCATCGCATCCGGTCCTAAGAAGTCGCTAAAGGCTTAAAAACTGGTCTCGTCTCTCTCGGTCGTACTCGGTTGCATGAGTGTGAACGGGCCTCTATGCTCATGCGTTCATTCTGCACTTCACTAACAAAATTTATTTTTAATATATATATATATATATATATATATATATATATATATATATATATATATATATATATATATATATATATATATATATGTATAAAGTTTTGTAATACGTCGGGCGGTGCCCGACGAAAATAAAAATAATAATTTCAATAAAACGATAAAAAAAAAACCGCCCCCGCCCTTCCCGTTTTTTTTTTTTATCGGAAACCACGCAAGCTGCTGCCCTCAACATAACGATGTTGAGGGCAGCAGCTTGAGTGGTTTCTGCATATTTATTTATGAAATGACCTTTTATGTAGTGTACTAACACCGCATTGCCAAACCTTCAAATTTTACCATTTGTTTAAGAGACAGGGGTTTGAATTCTTACCTTATTTGAACGGAAAATAAAGGAAAAGGACGTATTTCCTCTACTCCGGCTACGTCAGAAGTAAATATGGTAACGGGCTAAACGGGTTGACATAAAAACGGAACGAGGGCTACAGCCAGGATGGAAAATGAAAATCAAGATGACTTAAGTCATGATATAAATCAGACCGGTTTAACTAGGATGATTTAAATAAAACGTTTCCAGTAAAAAACATTAAAACAATATTTTTATTTACCGTGTGTTTATTATTTGATGTTTTCAATATGCGCATATGCTTTGTACCTAAGTCAAAGAATCATGGCAAAAGAAAGGTTTATATCGGACTCAACACGAGGAGAAGTCATTGATCTTCGGAGAAAATCGATGAGGTGAGCTCTTTTCTACCTCCGACTTCGTTCGTCAGTTACTTCATTTTTTTTTGCAATCAAATTAGAACGCAGAAGATAGAAACGAAAATTAGGAAAGCAATGTGTTGCAAAAAGAAAAAAAAAAATCGAATATAACTTTTCCGGAAACAAAAAACTAAGCAGTTTTTGTTTTAGTATGGCGGGGCTTTCATGAACAAAAAGTTGTTAAAATTGCAGGAGTTATTTTTTCCCCATTGTTTTCAATGATCGGAAGAATCGATCAAACAACGTGCTGTGTTTAAAAATGATATATTGAGAAAGAATCAATATTTTCTAGCTACAGTAATATTGGTGTGATTTAAATAAAATAAATCTAGCTTAAATACGAAAAAAAAAACAACTGATTTCGTGGTTAAAACATTATTTTTGTCCTTTTTTGCCCACAGCAGAACGACCTGATGCGGTGTGTGTAGACTGCGTGGCACTACCGACATAATCGAACGGTGGTTTATTTTCTTCTTCTTGCATTTGCACGGTGTATCGTCTTCGTGAGAGGCGCTTAAACATTGGTGGCACTACTGTTATTAAACCAAAACGACTACTTTATAAAAAAAATAACTTAATTCGACGTGAGCTTTTCTCCGGGAATCATAGGGAAAGAGTTTTTTTGTTTCCTCTCGTTCTCAATCACGTGGGTTCCATATCTGGTATGCGGGACGAAAAAAAAAAGTTGAAGTCATTTCGACCTTAAATATGTGAGGAAATATTGATGAGGCAAAGCAAGGATATTTGACAATCACGCAGTTTTTGTAAACGTCTTGCAGGGGCGTGGAGAGATCTAAACGATGTTTTAACGGGGTCTAGAAAAATTTTTCGAAAGCCCATTCGTCGACGGATAACTGGTAGACGGACGATTCGTCGAATAGGGAAATTCGCAACAAGCGAATTCGTTGAACGGGAGACTTGTCGAAGGGGCCCGTTCGCAAAAAAATATTTGTCGAAAGAACTATAACAAAGTTGGAGTGATATACTTTTGAGCCTAGAAGGAAATCTCACCACGATTCGCCGACTTGCAAATGCAAATATGCTTATCGACATTTAGAAAAAGAGCCAACTATTTACAAACATAAACTGCTCCCTCGGGGTAGCGTTTTTGCAAATTCGTGACTAAAGAATGTCGCTAAGAAAGTATTTAGGTCAAGAAGAATAATTGCAAGTGAGCTTTTTTTCCGTTCTGAGAATTGGCCTTTTTCAAGTTGTCCATCGGCCAATAGGATTTCGGCGAATTGGCCGGATTCGGTTTGAACGCGTACCAGAAGTGACGACATTCAAGATGGCTGCGCCCTCGTGGAAAAGGCGTTATGTCTTTTCTAATTTTTGCCTCCGCTCCTTGATATCCAAGGAAAAAAAACGTATCTCGGTTACTGTCTTCTAAAACCGCCGGATTTTTGAAACAGGATCAAGTTTTTCTCTGAGGTGGGGATTAAACATCATCGGATTTCGAGGCCACGTGTTGCAGTCGTGGTAAGTTTGCATCTCGTACGATTCCCTTCTTCTAGGGAAGGTTTACGGAGCCTTAAGCTGAGAGGTGCTTTCTTTCTTTTTCAGTCGTGAAATTTACAAACACGTTTATGAAAAGAAAGACCCGTCCGACTCAACTACATAAAATTCCGTCGTGCTAAGGGTCGCTCGGATTTTCTGAACCACCTCCAAGTCCATTCTCGCGGGTGTTGCTCCCGCAGAGGAGGTACACGGCTTTCTCCACAGAAAAAGATTGGTCGTGCGGCTACACCGCTAGGAGAAACGACGGGATTCGTTAAAAATGTTGTCCTCGTCAGTTTTTCTCAACTGTCCCTTTCCCTTAAATGACAAAAAATACAAATATTGTGTTAATGCACTTTCAAAATAATACCCCCTCCCCCCTCAAAAAAAAAAAAAAAAAAAAAAGAAAAAAACCTTTTAGCGAATTCGACGTCGAGGTCACCCAGCGGCGTTAAACACAAAGTCAACACGCCTATCTCGTTCTTTCACCTTTAGGTATGAGGTCACGCCCTTCAAAACGTCAGATCTCTGGCCGAAAATGTACCGGACTAATCCGGAAGCATCGGGTGACCTCGATCACGTTTGCTGACCTAGAGTCCACAGTCTGAACCATGGAAATGCCGTATCCGGGTATGCAGCCTTATGCACCAGACGAGCACCCGACATAGGCTTTATAAGGAGGTGCCGTTGGTGAGGCGACATCACATCATCGTCGGATTTCCAACGGGTCGTTTCGCTGTTGCCATTCTTGCCCATCCTCGAATATGCAGGTTGCTGTGGTGTCCATGCTTGTCTTCTTGTCGGTAACCCGAAATTCTGAAGGTGAGTTGTGCTTTTTGTTTTATTCTAGAACGTGGTAATCTGTGATGTTTTATTCTCTTCTTTCCGCCAAACTGGCGCTTTTCTAAAGTGCGTCCAAAGTTGCGGTTGCTCAATGATTTGGCCTGTTTAATGTACATTTTTCACAAATGCTGGTCAGCGTGCCACCGTAAGGAAAAAATGAACGAGTACTTACTACAGGCTTTTTTTAGACTATATACATTTTTTTTAGACTATATACATCGGCAGACGTATGTCTGATACGTCTGCTGATTTTAAACGGCCGTCCTAGGGAATCGCGATGCTTGGCCAGTCTGTCTACTTGTAGACGTCCAAGAAAACCTGAAGTAGTGACTGAAGTTTCACTGAGATGGTTAGCACCTTGAGCGTAAAGAGTGCCCTCCTCCCCCGAGATTCTGACAAGATTGACAATGACATGCTTCGTTGGCGTACTCTTAGGCCGCGGTCACACTGATTCTTTCTTGACTGAAAGTTCAGTCACCTTGGTCGAACAAAAACTCTCCGCATATATGTATGTATGGAACAATAACATGCCTCGATGTTGCTTGGGGCACATACGCAGATACTTATGACATCATCTCTGCAGTGAATACCGAGTTGTTTGCATGCCGTATCAGCAGTGCGACTCCGGCTTTGTAGTTCCTTTTCGTGTTAACATTGACTAGGTTTGTTTTCATAAAACCATCATCGCCAAAGTTGACAGACGGACGCTACTCTTATTGCCGAAGATGAAAACTAATATTAAGACTAAAGGACTCCGTTCCTACTAAAACATGATAGTGCCCATTTGGACAATTGGGGTTGCTCCCGTCTTAAGTAACAATTGCAGACTCCCCTCCCTCTTCCCCTCCGGAATTCGCATCCCCCTTTCAAGAAGTCGTGCGGACGCCTATGCTTAGCGCAACTCGTTTCTCAAGTCGTTTTTACTTCCTTGACTACCTTTCTTTTCCTTTCCTGCGTAGGTATATTTCATGTTTACTTTGAACGATGTCGTTTAGCAACGATCCAGACTAACGCCGTATGTCGTCATTGCCTTTCCAGCTTACAGCATCCACCTCAACCTCTCGGAAGAATCCAGCAGCGACCTGTCCGTGACCCGGAACCTCCCAGTCGCCATCCTCCCTTTGGCTCTGGGCCTCATCGGACCCCTAGTGGCAGTATTCTTCGGCAGCCTAAAACCCGTACTCCTGGCCCTTGGCCTCGTGTACCTCCTCTTATTTGGCCTCACTTTCATACCCACGCTGGGCGCCATCGTGCAGACTGGCTTCCGCGCCTTCGGCGACACCCTGACGGCCGCCATACCTCCGACCATCGGTGAAGACCTACTCAAAGTCACCGGACTCGATGCCGAAGAGTGCCGTACCAGGGCAGTCTGCGAGATCACCGAAGACGCTGTCCAGCGCTATCCCACCGTTGCGGCCATGTTGAGGTCGCTGAGTGGGGCTGTCAGGGCTCAAGATGGCTCCAAGTTCGTGCTCAAGGGACTGTTGGGTGGCCTCTCTGGCCTTGGGTGCGAGTCGCTCTACGCCACCTGCAAGCAGTCTCCGTTTGAGAGGGTTCTCAAGGCTCTGTACGATCCAGCTGTTTGAGTGTCTGTTGCATGCCTCCAGCCTTCCGACTTTTTGTTGTTATTGTTAATAAAATCTCGTAAATATTGTACATCTTGTACGTGTCGCTTCGCTAAGGTGCCTTAGTTTGTTTCTTCTTAGGCAATACATATCTATAGCTGCAGAGAGTAGGATGTCTTGTGGTGCTCTAATTTCAGTACGGGTTCTATTCAGCTAAATTTCCGTCGGGCGTTCTGGAGCGATGCCCGTGAAGCTGTGCACGTGCGTCGTCTTTTTTAAATTGACTGACTCTTTTTTTTGATGATGCTCAGCAAGTTTCTAGTTGGAACCATGTGTTGATCTTCTCTAATTCAGAAGTTACCAAATTTTTGTTTATTATCCTACTTATCGTGAGGAAGTTTTGTATAATCTTCTTGGCTGAAGGTTATAAAAGACTCGCGGACTTTCAGAGTGGTCTAGGATGTACAAACCGCTTGAGTTGTCACGAAGGCATCATGATTGTTATACCTCCCATTCTGTTCAGTTTCGGACTGAATAAATGTGCACCGACTCGTGCTTTTGGCGCCACGCCCACGTAGATGGACAATAAAGGGGTTGTCTGTGCGGCAGTCTCAGATCGTGTGGAAAAACGCGCTTGTAGCACTTGTACCTGGAAATTAAGGATCATTAAAGGAGCTAGGCTCAATCCGTACTCCATTCCTCGATTTTCCTTGCGGGCGCCGTCACTTTGGTCTCCTGCAATTTCAGATAAAGCTTGAGATAACTGGAAATCTACTTTGAAGTCAGGATTTCTACTTTCATTGGCAAGCTTTGAAAACAAAAAAAACTTGAAGTGAACTACAAGTACATACTCAGAGTACAGTAAAATGCAGGTTTGCTAAACCTACCTGAAATAGTATTTTAAGCACAATGTACTTGAGTACATTATAGTTATGGCACTTCCCAACGCTGAACATTATACACTTGACCGTTATCCCGAACAAAAACGGTGCATCACTGGAGGGCATCGCTGGACAAGAGCAGGGGGCGAGTTCTCTGCTTTATATGTTCGTGTGTTCGTGTTTGCGCCAGTACTTGCGCGAGGGACTGCGTCTGAGGGTCCATACGTTTGCAGTCATTCTGAGCAGCTTCCGCCAGAGTCAAGGAGAACCGGAAGCCGCCTTCCTACTTCCGTGGCGGAAGCCGGCTGCCCGGATGGGAAAATCTTCCACCGTTATCCACGTCCGCTTCCTCGGCGCGACGAGCATTTGATAGAATGTTCTGCCGATCTTAGCCGCTGATTTGCTTTTATTTCTGATAAAGCTGGATTAATTTCCTTAAATACTTAGTTTGGCACCGGAAGCGCTCTGATCAGCAATACGTGCTGGAACAATCATCGCAGCTTCGACTTAGTCCTCGCAACGGCTTGGAAGCACCACGTATGCGAATCGATCATAGTGCTATGATATTGGAAATTTCTTGCCGCTTTTTCTAACCCGGCGGTTCTTAAACTTTTGGTCGTCACGGGCGTCCTGACTCACTCAAAAGCTGTTCAGAGACACCCCCCCCCCCCCCCCCCCCCCTTTCCCCTCCAAAGCAATTTGTATCAAAGGTCTTGCGCAATGGCATATATTTTTTTTAGCGTTTTTCTTTTATTTGTTGAAATGTGTTTTTTTCTTGTGGTCCGCGGATTCCAGTTTGAAAACCGCTGCTTTGACAATTCCTTCATCTAAAATAGCAATACCATGAAAAGCACCAGTTGACGACTTTAGGGAAGTGTCAGGCCTGTAAATGCGTTGAAATACTGACTCTCCTATTTCTAGAAGATGGAGAGAATGTGGGAGGCTTCGGCTTGACGACACTAAATTGACAAAATATATTTAAATGGCTCAGCTGCTGACGTATGTCACAAAATAAGTGTTACCCGGAATAATAATGTTTATTGCGATATTTACATAATAAGTCTCGATTTCAGTGAGGAACTTCCGGAACGGGCTTCCATTTCAGCACAGCGTCTAGAAATAAAATCCCAAGTTCGAAGCACTTCCCGATATTCAAAATGTCTTGTGACCTAAATATTGCTCCAAAAAGATATTGTTTTCGGGGAAAATTTATTTTGTGACATATGCATACAAATCCGGGAACTTAAAGAACAATATGGGGTTAGTTCAATGTACTTTTAAGTGCTCGAATGGGGTCAATGTCCCTTGACTCGCTGGACGGCAGTGCGTCTTTGGAATCTCTGTTTCAACAAGAGTTGTAATCGTTGTTTTGTATAACGTTTAATTTCTTATAGTATAGTTGCCGTCAAAGAGCGAACTCGGCGCGGCGACTTCTTTCTCTATTGTTGCCGGACGGTGGGGGTGGTTTTAGTGACCGGGTTTTGACCTGGCCTGCGAGCAGGTGAATGCCGTTTAGGGAACTCAATTCCCGCACTTCAGCGGCTAACGAGGGCCGTCAAATGCGGGGATTAAATCATGTGAACGATATCCATACTTATTTTGGGGTCGGTTCAAATTGCCCAGAAAATTGTGTAGTCACGGTGGCTTAAGTTTAGTTCTGCAAGGGAAGTCGCTTTCCTACATTTTGTCTGGGAACTACATCTACTGCAATCACCGTAATAAATAATGAACATGCAGTAAAGACATGAGTATTTCTTGCTTCATAAGATTATAAAAACAATGCAAAGCGAAACATTAATGGTTTATCATTTGCAGGATCTAAAAAAATGTACGTCGAAATAATCCTAATTGTCGCATAAAAATACAGGAGAATGCCCAAATAAATATTAAACAAGTAGTAACGACGTATACATTTGTATTGCTTTATAATCAAATAGAAGAGCAATGATAGGTGAAGGTTTCGTGCTTTGAATATTTTGCAGATGTAAAAAGAAAATAATTAAATATGCCAATGCAATACACATGGTCGCATGGTGTATTGTAATTTCCCATTGGGTTTAAATTTTAACGAAAAAGACAAAGTTTTGGTTCGGTTCTGAGCACTGTTTCATATTTTGCTTTCGATAGTTTTTTGCAGAAACCGCAGACATTGTGGTTGAGTTCTATCATGTGAGCATACGTTGTAACCATGCATTCGAATGTTCCTTGTGACACTGTTTGTGTTTAAATAAAATGACTACGATGCCAAATATTTTGTGTATTATTGAAGTAAGCTTAATGATGCCTTAACAACTTAGATAATCGCCCCACTCGTGCCGAGGGAGTATTGTTAAAGACGTATCAAGCTTCATGCTCGAACAAGGGAAGTCTGTTCCCAAAACGTTTGTTCAAAAAGGTTTTAATTTTTTTGTTGCTTCTAACCTTATTTTTGATTTGATATAATAATTGAGTGGAAATCACCAAGGTTAATAAGAACTACGCAAGAGTAAATTGAGGTCCGCCTGATAAAGCTTGCGGTGGTTACGATCAAAACTGGTGGTAGCTGTTAACGTTCGCTTACCCTACTGATAGCTAGCTCCTGGCAAAGTGCTCCGCTACTCTTGGAGAGGTCCCGGGATCGAAGCCCTGACCATGGAAACTTTTTCGGCGGCCACCAGTCACCGGGAGCGCGCGAGTTTTGCTTTATTTCAGGTGAAAGTCAATTTATTCTCGCTACTCTTTATATATAGTCTATATATCAGTATTTTATTATTTCTAGCATGTAAAGTTTGATCCTGCTCAGTCTGATGGGCTCAGCCCATTTTGTTTACTTCTCACTTTTTGCTTGAGTCGTCCGCTTAGTAGTACACTTTTAGGGAAAAGGGGGAAAAAGGTAGTAACGGCGCGTTTTCTTCCCCTCTACAGAAGCGCCCCCAAGCGGACACGAGAAGAAGGGAGGAACGAGGCGTTTTTGTCCTTCTCTAGAGTACTATATAGCTCCTTCGGAGCAGAATTGTGCAATCTAGAACGTCATCTCTCGGTGACTGGCGGCGAACGCCCGGGGGTTTCAACTCCGGTCACAAATGTATGTGAAACGTAAGAAAGTCGTTGTTCCTATTAATATATTTGGGATGCACGAAACGACAATAGTTTTTGACAGAATAAAAGAATAGTTTAAACTAATTTGCGCTGAGGTGTGTGCCATGTAAGAGCGTATTTTTTTTTTTTTTTTAAATTGCCTGAGCGGCATTTTGCAGCCGACGACTCGGCGGCGTCACACTGTTCACGTGACCCGCTACGGCCAACCCACAAAGTCCATCTCCGCTGCGTACAAAAATCGTCTGCTTCAAACGCCATTGCCTTGGAAATTGCCTTCTCAAAATTTTCACGCGCATTCAATAGTATGAAAACTTTGATAAACTGTTCAGTGCTTTACCAACTTCACGACAGACTAGTTTCGAAAAATGTGAACTCGGCGTTTATTTTTCAGTCAGCCGTGTTGCGTTGACCTTCATATGTTCTCCCATAGGGCGGGCGCCTCCTGGAACCCTGAGTTCCACGCGACTCGCGCCGAGCTGCTATGTCGGCCATGTTGTCGGCAGAACACGCGGATCAAAGGATGGAATTACGCTTCGCGCCCGGAATAAAGCCGCATTCGCTCCTGAAGGGCAGTCTTTCCCATGCCAGAACTACGTGTGTGGGAGAGCCACCTTCAATTGCGAAGGGGCTTGGAAGGATTTTTTGCCTGGTATACTCTGCTCCGTAGGAGCCATATAGTGCTCTATGTTTCTGAAGGGATACGGGAGAAAGGTGCCGCCCTTCCGCCTCATATCCTTTCAGTTTCGCTTTTCGAGCACGTCGTGTGCGTTGTTTAAATAAATGTTGCTGAGTTGATTGAGCTGCAGCGGCAGCGAAGGCCTCCTGCAATTCCGTCTCCCAGTCCAAACATGCGGAACATTTCAGTTCCATTGACATTTTGTCCACTCATTTCGCCAACAAGCCAACGAAGCAGCTAGAAACAGCCAAGTTCCGGAGCAGTGCCAGCAGCGCTACGTACACTGGGCTAAGATGGCCGTCTCCAGAATGCGGGGCGCAAGGAGGTTATAAATACTAGAAGGGGCTACATTGCAAAATTTTGTGAAGCCTAGTCATAAAAAGTTT